TCTTGTCTGCATATGATGTAAATATTCCTTGTCTTTCTCTAGTTCTTTCCTCCTCTTCTGGGTTTTTCTCTCCATTGTGCCATGTGTGTTAAATAGGATATTTAGTCTTACGTCTGGTACTTGAGCTGTATATCCCACTAGTGCATGTCTGAAAATCGGTAAGGTTTTAACTGCAGGTAATTGCGGGCATACGCAGAGCAACTTTGTATGATGCCCAGGCTGCTTCCTTCTGAGACATTTTGAGGCCATTTAGTTTCATTACTCTGCATCTGTGGCCTTGGCCCTGGAACATCCTTTCTACAGAGCAGGGGTGACTGGGGACCAGACAGGTCCTACTGTGCGTAGCATGTGCTCTGTCAGCTGTGAGGTGCCTGGGGGTAAGCGTGGGGTTAAGTACAGTTAGGAAGGTTAACTCACTAAAGGCTGCCAAATGACACTCAAGAATCAAATGTTTTAATGTTAAAAAAAATATGTATACATATTGGCGAAAACCGCTTTTACTTTTTTATATGGCCCACATATAAAACTATGAGGCACGGTTGTTTCCCTGTGACTCTGCAGTGGATGAAATTGTAGTTCCCGTAGAGTTGCACATAACGATTTCATTCGAATCCTGCCGATAGTGATAAAAAGTTGGTTTTTGACCCAGATGTTCCAAATGTTGCCAGTGTATCTTTTCCTCTTCTTTAATATAGTCCTGCTACATTATTATCAAAAGATACCAATAAATTCCAAGAGAGTTTAGTTTGGTCCCAAAATAAAAGGAAATGGAACAGAGTCCAGACTGCGTTCTGTATTTAATGCTATCGAAACCTTAGCATGCTTGTTTGATTTGCTGCCCAGTCACGTGTATTCGAAAGCTGCGTGTACTTGCTGCCGCATTTGGGTACCTACCTGTGGGGAAGTGCTCAGCCCCTCGGATGTGGCTTTTCCTTTGTCTTCTACCTTTTATTAGCCTTTGTTGCTCTGAGGACTATCTTGGATCTTGTTGAGGTTACTGTTACAAATCTTAGCAGTGTTTTCCATACACGTATTTCAGGATAAGGTGGGAGGTGAAGGGCTGAAGCTTTGTGCTAGGCTCAGGTATGGGAGGAGGAAAGTTTGTGCCGAGTACTACCAGATAGGTTTTCTTCAGAGCTGGGCTGGTTACTTCTTACCCGAAAGTGCTCCAGGCCAGCCAGTCTTCCCTGGAAACGCAGACCAGTGAGAGAGTTCCCTCAAGCCCAGTGCCATACAGAGTTGACTGAAATTGTACCTGCTTAATATTAAGTAAATTTGTTGTTTAGTAGAGCTAGCGTGTACTATTTTAAACTCAAGTGGAGATGTACGTGCTCTGCTCTACTAGTCCTGTTGAGAGTACTGGTGGTGACTTTCAGTCTTGTCTCTGAGTTGATGTAAACTTGAATAATTGGTCTGGTTGTTACTACTGCTGCTTTTGAACGTGGTCTGACCTTGCATTTCAATACATGGCTATGCATTTACCTTTTGAAAGGATCTTACCATTGATTTTATAGCGAACTCTATCCTCATATTAATGGTAAATGCAATGAATGGTTTGCAAACACATGCAAATCTGAACCTGGAGTATAATAAGGACATGTAAATGTTTTCATGTTTTATTGTTTCATTTAAGCTGACTGTAGATCGTCTGGTATCTGTTGAAGCACAAAAGGATCAAACGCTAAAAAAAGTTATACAATAATAGCGACTAATAAATGTTGCAAATAAAAAAATGAAGAGCCTAGCTGTATCATGTATCAGCACTAATGTTTATTTGTATCATCCCTCTAAGGATCTCGGAGTGCTTTTTAAGCAATGAATTAATTTTGACAATGCCCTGTGAGGTATGTAGGCAATATTATCCCTCTTGATAGAAGGGAGTTGGAAGCGCCAAGTGTTTAAATTCTACAGGGTCGTGCTACTAGGTCCATTTAATTACAAATTGGAGCATTTGATTCAGTGTACTACCAGTTTGTTTAAGCTGAACCAGAATCACAAATAAAAGCCCCAGGTTTGTGGGTATGAGAAAATTTGGCTTCTAAGTTTATTTTTCAGGAGAAATGTTTATAAAGAAAACTGTAAATAGAGTAATTGACACGTGTAGGTCCTCCCTCACTGAGGTGGATCATCTGAATGATTGTAGCTTAATTTGTGGTCTTCCTGGTATTTTTTTTTCTTCTTTTGCCTGTAATGAACGTTTAATTATCTGCCATGGACCATTTTTGACACTTTGGAGAAAGGGAATTAAAAATTGCAAACTAGTGTAGCCCTGAACCAGTTGTGAATTATGACTTTTGCACATGACTGGCTGAATACCTGAAGCAAAAAAATTGTCGAAGATTGTTGTCTTAGTACTTGTTATGTGCTTGGGAATATTAAAAAACAACAACAACAACAACAAAAAACCCAACCCATAAACCAAAACCCCAACTAAAACCCCAGAAATCTTCTGAGTGGATCGGGAAGAAAGAAAGAAAAGAAGTTTGTTGATGGCCAAAATATCACCATCTAGTATGATCACCATAGAACCATTTAGTATCTCTCCTTACCACCTTTCAGGTACAGAATTTCTCCTGGAAGTGGAATTGCAGTGTATTCTAAGTGAAAAATATCTCTGTGTGATGTCATATCAGTATTGGTAGCCACTGATGTGGCTAAAACTAGATGCACAGTGTCCTTCTCTAAGTGTATCAGTTCTTGCCAGCTACTGCTTTCTTCTTTGTGCATTGTTGAAATGAGCAGGAAAACGGTTGAGGGCTTTCTAGCACTGAAGTTATTTCTCTTGCATCAGTAGACGTGGTCTGGCAGGCTCACCTGCACCGTAAGCAGAGCCTGACTGGATCCCAACTTTTGGTAGGACCAGGTATTTTTGAGACAGGGAGGTAAGTTTACCTGGGGAGGGAAGGGCTACTTTTTATGCTCTCTGTCCATTTTGTGTGGACTTCACCAGCTTTCCTGAAGAGGGTGAGTGATGCCGTTCTTTGTAGCAGACAGAAATGTAGCTGTCGCTCTGTGCACAAAATCTGCATGGGGAGGAGGGGACCATTAAGTTTCCTCCCAGCCTTCTGGTGCAGAAGTGGAGCCCATATGCTACTGTCTTTCAGATCTTAACAGCTGATTTACACTCCTTTATATAGCGAAGACTCTTTTGCAAGGAAGACATCCTTAAGTGTCCTTAAAAATGGAAGTCTCGGTCCTCCCTCACAGATTCAGAGTCAGGATGTAATAAAAGGGATCTTTCTGCATCTTTATCAGATTGAAGCGGTCAAATACAATCAGTCTGTGTAAAAGAATGGCACGTCTAACAAATAACAAAGACTTGATAAACCTGATGGGGTTTTTTTAATGTAATGGTAATAGGAACTTTAAGAGGGATATATTGACAAAAAATACCTTCAAGGACATCTGTATTGAAACTGATCCTTTGCAGCAGGTTTGTGTGCATGGGTGTAATGTGTGTCTCTTGCCACATGACAGTGTGAGCTACACCACTTCAAATACAAGTAGAAAATCCTGATGTAACTCACACTTGTTGAAGAATTGTTTTAGGTAATACTTCTTCTTGCTTTCACCTGTGATCTCTGGCAAGAGGAGCTGTTTGGACTTGTGCCCCTTTTTTTTTTTTTTTTTTTTTTTTAGTTCAAAAAAGGAATGCTGATGAGGAAGAGGTGTTAAAATATGTTACTGTGGTTTACAACTGTCAACTATGATGTTTTATTTAGCTGTATCTATTCAGATGCTCCCTCCGCAACATGGAGTGCCATATGCCATTGTCCCTGTTAGTAAGCAAGTCAGCAAAGGTTTCCCAGTCTGCATTTGTTTTTGTATTTGGGCCGCTGAGGAGCTGTGGTCCAGTGCCATCTTTTATTGATAGGGCCAGCAGAAGAGGAATCTAATGAAATTATCAAAGCTTTGAATTAATTATGAACTTGAATAAGAAAGCTAAGCTCTCTAGAGCCAAGGATCTCATTACCCATTCATTTTCAATGCATCCTCTTATGGAGCAGAAGGCAGGTTCAGCTACAGCTCCTACCCTGATTTTGGACTTTATTCAAACTTGCTAAACTCACCAGCGTCCACTTGTTATTAATCTGTGGCTAGAAGTGTCCAGGGTGATTAATTTGATTCTGCTCTAAATCGTCATGTAAATGGTAGATTTCCCTCCTCCCTTTCCTCTTACTTCTGCTGTGTGGCTTTTCATCATCAGACTGGCTGCCATACAAGAGTTTCTGTTCTTTCTTGGTAATTGGGGAAAGCTATTCAAGACTCACGTTTTAACCTCCTGGAATTTAATGAGTTAATGTTAAGAAATAATACTGCTACCTTACATTTCCTGGATATTTAGGTAAGCACAAACACTTCTAAAGTAATTATCAAAATTGTTTATTTTCTTATTTTGAAAGACTATGGAGTAAAAAGTAATGGTTAGACATTTTGGCCTCAGAAGTGTGGGGGGTTTTGGTTGTTTTCTTTCATTGTTCCTATTTTAAATTTTTTGGTCAAGCTACAGAAACTTCTGAATTTGTCCTTACTTTATTATGGTGAACAACTAAATTAGTTTGCCTGATTAATATTCCATTAAAAATATTAAAAATCTATGAAAATGCAGTGTTTTAGTTAAAGCAGATTATATTTATTTTAATTAATAGATTGATATGTAGAAATGTTTCTGGCAAATTAGAGAAAAACAGTGAGACTAAGCTTCTGTGTAATATTCATAGTTCTTGTGGATATTCCTCTTAAGTCTACTGGCAAGGATTTTCTTCTCCTGCTTTTGTCCATTTCAGCACATTATTTATGAATGCATAAACTAGAATCTATCAGTCTTCATAAGTTACAGGCCACTGGCAATTTTTTTTAAGCAGTGGCTAACTGCCTAATGGTCTCTGTGTATGTGTGTATTTGGAGAATCTAATAGCTTGTTGGGCGGGGGAATAACATTTTGTTCTTGTACTATAGCTATTTTACCATTGGTGATATTTATCTTTTTCTCTCTTCAGGCAGCTGCTATATTTAATTCTGCTTTTGGAAGTTTTTTGGTAAGTAATGCAGTATTTATAGCAAGTGCTTTAATAGTCTTATTTTTCACAGTATCATTGGTGTGTTTGTATTTTTCACATTAGTGTTGGTGAAACTGTGCTGTTTAGCTGGCAAAAATTCGAATCATCTTTCGATTTATATCACCATGACATTAAATACAGATCTTACAATTTCTTTTCTTTTTGCTAAACTTTTGAGAAAAGTGGTGAATAAATTGTCTCTGCTCATGGTAAATTAATAATGTGTAAACACATCTTAATTTTCTCCTTAATGAGTTAACAGAATCTATTATTATGCGGATGTTTCAGACATGGGCATCAATATATTGATTTTTCTAATAAGGCCCATCAAATACTCATTATTTTCTATCAAGAGGCCATGGATTTTGAAAAGAAAACATGACCCAGCTGATCGGAGAGTAGATGCTAATTTACTCAGTGACATGTCATTTGTTTAGCATATTTCACTGTCAGTGAAGCCACTCAATGTCTCTGAGGAACACACTAAAATAGCTGGATATAGGAAAGCAATCAATCCAGTTGGAAATATAACCATTTCTGTAAAAGGCAAAACCAGTATTTGTGGGCCTGATTGTCTACAAAAGATTCAGAAGGGACTCTGCAAAGAACAATAAATAAATAAATTTATGAAGAAAGGAAGAATAGATTTCTTTTTTTGATATGTTGTTTAGGGAGACATTAATGAATATTAAATACAAATTATTTTATAGGTAGGCAAGCTACTGTGACTGTTTTATTTATTTAGGCAGGTAGTAATTGAATTTGTTCTTCTTTACTAAAATTTGTGCATGTTTAGCAGTGTACGTTTGTGATTCCAATCTTGTATCCCTGGAAAGAGGATTATGACATACAAAATGAATGAATGACAGAAGAATTCAAATTAGGAAATTAAAATAAAAACTGAAAGTACAAAATAACTTACTTTTATGCATAATTTTTTTGGTGAAAAGCTGGAGTTTGGGAGTTAATGTAAAGCTGTACTGCCAAGGCAGAAAGTTGCATGGCATTTTGAAGTTAGATGTTGTGCTGCTGCCGTTTTGAGGGACCAGGTTAAAGTTAGGAAGGTGGATGTAAGTTTTGTGGGCATAGATGACCAGTCACGTTTTTAAATTATCAATTCCCAAATATTTGTTCCTTTTTGTCACTTATCATGTCCTCCTCAATGCGAAAAAGGTGCTTTCTGCCTCAAACTGTAGAATCCCAGTGTTAAACAACTCTTAAACCTGTGTATGTGCATGGCATTTTATCTTGTTGCTTGGCATGAGCTCCAGTGTCTCTGCTGTCCCCAGCTTTCAGTTCAGGAGGTTTCCTCCAATACCCAAAGGCCTCAGTTCAGCTGTCATTAGGAAGAATGTCTTTTGACTTCAAATAAGAATTTAGGCCCTAGAGCATCTGACTACAATGCCAGCTCACAGTAATGCAACATAAACATATTTTAATTTCTAGAATCTGTTTGTAGCTCTTTGAAGAAATCGCAGTTAAAGAAGCTGAGCTAGTTTGTGTGTTCACGTAATACTCCTGATTTTGGTTTTGATCTCAGTTCCATGAACTGATCATTGTAAAGTTCTATTGACATATAATTACCTAATTTCACTTTTTAGTAACTTCAGATATTATTTTTTTTTTTAAATCTTCGAGCCGTATTGCAGTAAACATTCTTGTTAAAAAAAATCCCAGGAAAGACTTTTCAAAAATATTAAAGATTAGCTAGACTGAAACCACAGTACCAGGTGATTTTTTTTCTAATTACTAACTTATTTTTAAAAATAAAATTGTAAAGAAAATGCCACTATTAAGTCACAAATAGTACACACACTTAGATGCTTGTTATGGTATCCTAGTTTGAAATCGTGATTATATAGGGAATATGTATGCATGACAGAGAAGATATAAAAATGTTTACTGAAAGCTTTTGCTCTTACAAACTTTTCCAGTTATGAAGCTGATAGGATGTGCCTTAGGGCTGAAAATGCAATAGGGTGATAGTCGGCCAGGGTCTACAGTAGCCAGAGTTGTTTACCAGTTTCACAGTGCTGTAGGTCTACATGGCCTTTAGTTGAGTGGCTCCTGAATGTCACTAGCATGTGGTCACTTACTTCGAGTTTTCCGTGAACAACTGGCAAAGCATTTAATATATGTGTGTGTATATATATATACACACACACTTGTTTAAAGTCAAAACTGTTCTATAAAATATGAAAATAATTGGCCTGGTTTTAAGAAGATAATGGAAGGTCCTGGTGGTATTTTTGGAAATCCATCAGTTTATATTCATGCCTAACTTATGGGCTTCTCTATAGGTGGAGATCCTCTTTTCTATACCTTTAATTCACGATGAATCTTAATCACATTTGCATTTTTCTTATTGGTGTCTGATGATGCGCTGTCTGTGGATAGGCTTAGATGTAGTTATATACCTTTGTGACCCTAACCATATATGTGTCCTGGAGATTATTTGGAAGGATCTGACCATTGCCAAGGCCGAAATTTTTCTGATATTCCTTGTCTTACACCGTGCAGCACATGGGCGGGTTGCTGCACTTGCATGTAGCCCTGACAAAGCCAGGAGTATGTTGTCTATTCTCAGACTATGCCCTGTGGGGTAGTGCCTTTGTACGGTAGTGTGAAGCAAGCTGATTTAAAAGGGCTGAAAGATGTGCTATGCTTTTAACTCTTTTTTTTTTTTTTTTTTTTTTTTTCCCCCTTTTTTTAAGGCTAGAAAATGGTCCTTGGGAAGTTAAATTAAAATAAACTATGGAACAAAATGTCTGCAGGAAAAGACTCAGTGCAATGTTACAATGATACTGAGATGAGCTTATTCAGATGAAAAGGACCACATTGTGATACACAAAATGTAGAAATGCCAAATATGTCTTGATGAGCAGAAATACACTTAGGTTAAGCATCTAGAGGTGTTTTCCCTGGTAAGGAGAGTTATAAAAACTACCAACCAACCCCAAAGTAATTCCTTTTAAACTCCACCAAAGGCCATATTCCTATAAATATGCAGTCAGAACAATGCAGAGAATGATACTGTGCGTATTTACACTTAGCTTAATAATGTCCCAGGTCTAATTAAAACACAGTGTTTTAAAGAACTAATTGTTACAGAAAAGTGTTTTTATGTAGCTAGATTAGTAATAACTAACGATAGATGAATTCAATTTACATAAATTTCAGCCAAGAGAATATTTAGAATCATACCACAGAGGATTGCTCTGAGTTGGGTAGTTAATATCATTATCTCCTCCCCTCATTTAAACAGTTTGCTTTACAATAATTGTGGAACATAAGTGATTTCAGTTTTTCCTCTTAATGTGGTTTTAATAAATCTGGTAGTATTTTACTAATACTGGGTGGTTGGTTATCAGCAAGGTTGCTACTGTAAAGCATGCAAATGCATGCTAAGATCTGCTGAGATAGAAAGCACTGAGGTAGCTGCTTCCACTTTTAGGAGAGGATGCTTTTGGACCTAAAGGCTAAAGAAATTGTCTGGGATGTTAAGTGTGGGTCTGCTGAGATTTTTGACATTGTATGCATTATCGTGCTTCCTAAGCATTTCTGTTCTGTTTCTGAAAGTTGTGCTGCAACAGAAAAATAATGCTTGTTAATGTCCAAAGCGCAGAGCAGCAGGCAGGATCCTGCAAAGCATGCTGTGCTGATGGCTGTTCCATGGTGTTTGCCTGGGTGGCTCAGCTCCTTTGACTTTGGAGTTCACCAAGGCATAGCCTTTCATTGAGGCTGTTCTTGCTCTGTAGTGGAGACACGTGCTCAGTTGAGAGCTTAACTCAATTTATAGTGACAATATAATGCCGTGGACCTGGAGGAAGGAGAGAGGACCTGTAGTCTAGAAGAGGATGTCCTCACAAAATGCTCTGCACTGCTAGACTAGAAGCAGTCTTGTCTAATCTCTCTGCCTGTCGTTAATCTCCTTTCTGCTTGAGACGGTGGGCTGGAAACCCGTGAGAGTATCCAGCTTGTGACGTGACTCAACGTTGTCTGATTCTTTGGTGCCTTGCTGTTACAAATAGTAGGTGTGATAGGAACAGCTATCAGCTTCACCTTAAAGAACTGTAACCAAGATCTTAAGGTCTGACAGGAAATCCAGAGGAAAAGAGAGGATTTAGAGGACTCTGCTCTGGTGACCACCGCACTCCTGAGAAAACAGAGCAAAGGACAGATGAAAAATTAAAGTGTTTTGAGACTTCTGGTGCTGTCTTGGATTAGCTTCACCTCCTCTGTTGAAACCTGTGGGATGAAATAAGGCATGTGTCTAGGCTACATAAGTCCATCTGAAGGAAGGAACCTTTTGCAGGTGCCCATCATTAATTTAATCTCCTTTGTCCAAATTAAGTATATATGATTTTGTTGCTTTATCTGACCATCTTCCGAAGGGGACAAAGCTGATTCATATTCTTCAAAAACTCAACTAATTTTTGGAGCAGGCACTTGCCTAATCAAATCAAGGCTAGTGTTTTTATTTACATTGTCTTCCAAATGAAAGCTAAAGCTAGCAGGGAATATGAAAGTTAGCTTCTCACATATACACAAAGCATAGTTGGTTAATGAAAATGTATGGAATTCTTATCTACTCTGCTCTAGCAGGCATAATGATTTACACAGCCTGACAGCACTAGTGCAGCAAGTAAATGCATTAGTCATAGTGTCCATTTTTCTTGCAAATTTGTGACACAGATTTAATTATGGGAATGACCAGCAACTTACAAATCTAATTTTGGTAGGCTGAGCCAACTTTTTTATTTTAATAACAATGGATTTTTTAGCAATGATTTCATTACTATTTAAAGAAATCCACCCGTATGGAAATAACCAATTGGCTGAATTTATTTACTTTATTTTTACCTTAATGGATGTTGAATGGTTTAGGCTTATATTGTGGGTTGTTTTTTTTTTTATTATCACTTTATCTTAGTTATTTCTAGGATAAATAGCCTTATCTGGCTTAATTATTGCTAGCA